GACTTGCTTGAACCCAGGAGTTGGAGGTTGCTGTGAGCTGTGATGCCACAGCACTCTACCCAGGGGGATAGCTTGAGGCTCTGTCTCAAAAAAATAGAAAATAACAGCTGAGCATTGTGGTGGGTTCTTATAGTCCCAGCTATCGGGGAGGCTACGGCAAGAGGACTGCCGTGCAGCTGCTGAGCTACAGGTACCAAGAGACCAGTGAGAGCCAGAGGGAGACCTCCTCTCTAAAAAAATAGCTGAGCATCGTGGCAGGTGCCTATAGTCCCAGCTACTTGGGAGGCTGAGGCAAGAGAATCACTTAAGCCCAAGAGTGTTTATGACTATCTATCTCTCTTTGTTCGCACTGGCACCCCTGTCCATATGGCTGGTAGCCCTGCATGCAGAATGGACTCATGAGGACAGTGCAGGTGGCTGGGGGATGGCCTTCCTATCACATGCCCCTGCCTTTGGCACTTACCCAGCACGTACTGCCTGATGCTGCCAACCTTGTTCTCTACCATACAGGTAAAGTGGCAGAGGACTGGGGCACCATGTTCTCCATGAACAGGCTCTACTTCTGGTGCTGCAGCTACAGGTGGATACTTAGGTGGGAGGACTGAACCACAGGCCCTGCCCCAGGCCCCACCCCCACTTCCTTCCAGGCCCTACCACCCTGCCCCTGCCACCCACCTTGATACCACGATACCATGTATATGTGATGCCCTCCCTAGAAATCCTTGTAGTTCTTTGGCCAGGAGCTGGGAGGAATAGTGTTGTCAGTGACTGGGCAGCAGAAGCAAATGGTGTGGATGGCCAGCATGGCCAGCAGCTTCTTGTCCATACACTGGGTCTGAGGCCAGTTGACCCATGAAGATGGCATCCTGAAGGGCCCACCTCCTCCCCATCCAGGTTCTCAGGGCTGCCACCACCCCCACCCTCAAAGCACAACTGGTTTTTCTCCTTCCTGGGGGTTGTCACAGGGGCTGCCTTCTTGTTGGGCCTTTTGGAGATGCTGGACTGCCACCCCCAGGAGGGAGGCACCAGAGACCCAGGACAGAGGAGGGAGACAGCATCCTCCCCATGGTGACCTTGCTGCCAGCCACTCATCTCTCAGAGGAGGACACTGAGGCACAGGTGGGAGCAGTGCGGACAGACTCTGAGAAGAGACACTTCCCAGAGCTCTAAGCTGCCCTCTAAGGTCTTCTGGGAGACCTGGACAGAGAGTCTAGCGGGCTATGGCAAAGGCTGTTTCCCAGGACTGGGAGACCACAGGACTCAGCACTGCCCACTGCTAGGTGGTGCCTTCTGAAAGGCAGCCCCCCAAGTGACACTCACAGCCCAGCTCACATAGGGCAGACACATCAGAGACTTGCCTGGGACCACCATGGGGGCAGGGGGGGCAGGAACAAGCAGGGACTCAGGAAGAGGGGATTGGAGTGTGTGGTTGGAGGCAGGGCCAAGGGGCAGCTGAGCTGGAACATTTCCGCCCTCCCCTGGGATCTGCTATCCTGGTTCCCCAGCTCCGTCTTCCTGGCTCGTCTCTCCTCATCTCCTCACCAGCTCACCCTAGAGGGGTCTCCCAGTCCTATTTTTCATATTAGGTTTTTTTTTGTTTTTTTGTTTTTTTGTTTTTTTTTGAGACAGAGTCTCATTCTGTTGCCCTCAGAGTGAGAGGCATCATAGTTCACAGCAACCTCAAACTCTTGGGCTCAAGTGATTCTCTTGCCTCAGCCTCCCAAGTAGCTGGGACTGCAGGTGCCTGCCA